CATTACCAAGTCTAATTAGGCTGGCAGACAAGTGGCATTAATCATTTTTGACTGTACCTGGGACTCAAGCCCCTCTCACTCCATAATCAGAAAATTTCATGCTCTGATGAATGGGGGAAATTAAGCCCCCATTTAATCCTTTCGCTTTCATCTTTTGAGAAGACAGGAAGCAGGGAGCAGAGGAAACGGAGACAGCTTGGGGAGCTCAGAAAGCCTCTCTCAAAGCATCCCCGGCCCTTTCTCTGTACCCCCGCCTCCAGCTCCCCCACACTCCACTTGGACCTTTCCCAAGAAGACCCCAATTAGAGCCAGGGGCAGGGGAGGGGCTGGAAGTGGGGGACTCTAGTATCTTTAACAGCATGACATCCATCTTGGTGCTTAATTTTCCTAACCTCAAAGCTGAGCATGGGCCTGAATCAATGGCAATACTTCAAGCCACACACCTCAGCGTTGCTGGGTGTGAAGACAAATAAAGCACCATCCAAGTGCCCAGGGTTCTGGGTCTGCTACAGGGATACTCAAGGTCAATGTCCCAGTCATCTCTTCTACAAAAAAAACCACCACAAGGCATGGGCCCGCAGGACCCGGAGGCTGGCACAGGCGAGGCTCCAGTCTGCACAGAACAAATGGTTAAATGTGACCATTAATGCAGTGACAAGGCTGCTGGACGAGGGGCCCTAGGAGATACCGGCCTCACTCCCCAAGGGAGTCCCCTGTCCTCAGACCTGAAGGCCCTGGCAAATGTCTCACACTTACACCGTAATTAGTGGCTATACAGGAAGGGGAGGTGAGGGTGATGCACCTCAGGGTGCCCCTGTCAACTCTGTAATTCCAATCGCTTAATATATCATGGCTCCAAACAATGCCCCTTCCAGAGAGAGACTGGCTCCGGGAGTCACCAGCAGCATGCAAGGTGTGTCCAAGCAACCCTGCTGGAACGCTGGGTTTCCCCATTCTCCCAGGGGTGTCCAACCCGAGGCCCATGGGCTACATAGGGCCCAGGATGGCTATGAATGCAGCACAGTGCAAAATCGTAAATTACTTATAACCTTTTTTTTTGCTTATCAATTTTCATAGTGTTCGTGTATTTAATGTGTGGCCCAAGACAGCTCTTCTAGTGTGGCCTAGAGACACCAAAAGGTTAGACACCCCTGCAAGATCATTCCCTCGTCCACGAAGACTTACATATCCACTAAAAGGAGGCGGAAGGTCAAAGGTCAACTCTATCTGCCTTGTACAGAGGAAGGGGTCCATGACCTGTAAGGGCCATCCTCTGAGAACAAAGCCAAAGGGCAGCACACTGCTTGCTGCGGACCATCCCCTCCTGGAGTGCTGGAAATGGCTCTTCCCGCCACCGCCACCGCCCCCCTGCCAAAACACACGTGTTCACACAGTTTTCTCTTCTCCTCTTTCTTGTCCTCTCTTCTCTCTCTATTTCTACCTCTACCTTTACCTCTCTCCCCTCACCAGTGCCCACTGGATTTCCTTCTCTGCCCAACGAACACGATTCCTTTGATCTTGGAAATTAACATCAACCCTGAACTTTCCTGTTGGCAAATCCAGCGTTAACCAGAGCTCAGTTACGGACCTTGAAGCAGGGGTAAGCTCAAACGGGAGGAACTTTCACTAAAAAGGCAGGCAGGCAGTTTTCTAAAAGCTTCCCTCATTGAAAGCCCATCTTGCCAGAAAGGTTCCCACCCAGTGTCAGCCGCCTATGCAGACACGTGTCACCCAACACCTAGGCCCTCCTGCTGGTGTCCAAGGGCAGGGAGATTTAGCAGGAGCAACAAGCGGCCACCTTCATCGAGCACGACTGACTGCAACCATGTCCGGTGCCTGGCACCACACTGGGGGCGAGAGGTGCGAAGACAAAGTGCCAAGGTCCTGGTGACGGCTGAGCCACCGGCCTTCTGTGAGGATGCTCCTCAGCCAGCAGGCGTGAGTGATGTTTCCGGGACTTCCCGGACTTCCCAGACATCCCCACACTTCTGGGGACACTCATGGCACTGGCTTCCCCGTTCGGCTCAGCAAGCGGGCGGAGTGTGGAAACCCCGCACTGCTTGGGAGGGGATGCTAAGAGGTGCCCTGAACCCAGACGAGTTGTTACAGCGGCTGAGTGGGAGGGACAGCAACATTCACGTGGCACGACATGTTCCTGTCGCATTGTTCAGGCCCTGTTCTAAGCGCCTTACAAATATTGATTCATTTAATCCTTACATTAACAGTGAAGTCAGTAATGTTATTACCCCCATTTTTTAAAACTAGGGAGTGAAACACAGGGTTACACTGAGACTCAGTGGCAAAGTCAAGATTCACAGCCAGCCTGTGGTTCCAGGCTGTGCTGTAATTCCTGCATAGCACTACCCTTCCAAAGTTGTGTTTCTGACTTCCACTTTTCAAAATAAAGATAAAACAAACTAACCCCGCCCTGGAATGAGATCTCCCGCTTCAAGAGAGACACCCGGTGAGCCCAGCCCACGGTGTCTCCCCTGCCGACTCTCACTTGCAGGTCAGACCATTTCCTAGCTGTTTCCCTCCAGCCAAACGCACAGTGAGCCAGTGTGAGTAACAACACGCGGAGGTCTTCTCCATCCGCAGCCCCCCGATTCCAGCTCTGCACCCTCGCTCTCACACTCAGACATCCCCAGCTGGTGGTGAACCTATTCAGGGGCCACCAAGTCGCACAAAGTCAGAGGAGATGTCCCTGCACCTGGATCTTCCTGCCACCAGAAACTACTTATGAACTAATCAAATTAAACAGTTCTAATGTAAAGTGACCACAAATTCATTTAGTATGGCGTGCCCTGCACACATATGAATACACCATTATCACCACTACCACCCCACAAAAATCATAAAACTCTGCGCAAAATGTTCAGCGATTAAAACAGTCCCCAAATGTCTCAATACAAACTAGAATGCCAATAAAGCGGATTTCTCCCAGGTTCCCGCACAGCAAACCCATCACAGTGGGCCCACCGCCCCTGTGTCGCTGGGGTTGGTGGACGTGGTAAAGTGCCCCAGAACCCCTGAGAGGGCCAACTGTGTTCAGTTCTACTGTGAGGTCCGGGCATTTACCAAATGACGGCAGCCCTCACCCACTGCAAGCACCTCTGTAACTCTGGCTCTTTCCTTTTTAATTGGCACCTGTACTGTGAATTCTGGTGTTGGAGGGAGCACCACCCCCTCTCCCTCACAATCTTCCCCTTCCACTTGTCCCTAGCTTGGAGTCAGCTCTCGTCCCCGCAGCCAGCTGCAGTGGGAGCCACTCACTGCACAGCCTCGGCTGCGGGCTGCCTGCAGAGAGAGACAGAGTAGGGGTTTCCTGATGTGGGAGAGGTGGATGCTGCCCAATGCGGCAACTGGATGGGAGACCATGGGGGAAGGGCCTTTGCTGAAAGATGCAAACCACAATGTATTCCCAGAGACGCCTGATAGAGTTGTGCCATTGTCTGTGCTTTGCGTCTCAGATATTTAAAATATCTATATAAACACATAGATATCTTCTGCCAAACATGGGCAACAGAGAACATGGGGGTGGAGCTGGAGAGAGGACACTCACTAAAGAAATACACACACCTAACTGTAAGAAGAGAAAAATGGTAAAGCCCCAAGGACGGCACATTGGCTCAGAAAATCCACAGCCTGGGCGCCCAGGGTTTTATAGAGCCTGTGAACAGCCTGGCTCAGGGGAGGCTGGGGGCTGAGAGTGCAGGGAGGAAGGGACCAGAGCTGGGTCATTTTAGAGCCTGACGCCCCGTGTGGGCAGGGTGCCGTCAGACGTCAGAGCACAGCCCAGAGGAGCGAGGGGCCCGAGGCAGAAGGCAGGACCAGGCACAAGTCCAGGGTGACCGCAGGCTCTCTGCAGCCTCACAGACGTTTCCATTCAGAGCCTAGCCAGGTAGCCTCCTTGTCCCAGCAGGTCACCCTGGAGGACGGATGTACCACAGGTGGACATGCGCCATTGGCGGACAAACGGTTTGCTGTTGACCCCGATGAGCACGAGTCACACGGGCACCTCACTGCCCACCTCACAGCCCGCTGCCGCGGACCTGCAGCAAAAGCAGGAGGGCGCACTGGAGACAGCAGAATGACCTTGCGGCTGCGGCCATCGCCCCCCACCTGCGCGCGTGTGTGTCCACACGAGTGTGTCTGGTGGGGAGGCGAGGCAAGTACTCGTCAGGAAAAGGGGTATTTGTTTCCGCAGAACCGTATCTGGGCAGTAGGCAGACACGAAAGGATACGGAGCAGGGAAGTAAAGGGCAGCGAGCTTCCAGGGCTTACCTCTCTTGGTTAAAGTCGAGGTCTCCCCGCAGCCGCAGAGGGCAGTGCCCCTCTCCCGCCCCAGCCCCTCGCAGTTCCTCGCCCACGGGCTGCGGTCTTCCCGCGCGCGCCCTCCCCTGCGCGGCCCTCACACTCACTCGCGCAGCGCAGCGCCTGCCGCAGCACCTCTCGTCCGCACAGGTCGCACCAGCCCCCGCCGCTCCGCAGCGCCAGTTCGGTGAAGCAGTGCCCTTCGCCTCGCTCCGCCGGGACGCGGGGATCCTGCGGTTGTTCGAAGATGCTCCGCACGTCTCGGGGCCGGGGCGCTCCAGGGCGCCGCCGCAGTCTCTGCTGCAGACCAGGCCGGAGAGGGCGAGCAGGGCGGGAGGCCCGGGGTGGGGGCTCCGGGTCCCCGCGGGCGGCCCTTCGGGTGCCGCGCCCCTGGTGCGCCCCGGGCGCAGTGGAGATGGGCGCAGGGGCGCAGCGGCGGGAGGACCCGCTGGGTGGCGGCGGCAGCGGCGGCGGCGGCTCCGGACCGCTCAGGCTCTGCAGATAGCGCGGCGGTTCTGGATCCAAGAGCAGCCGGTACGGGCGCTGCCCGATGGCCGGGGACGCCATGACCATGCCCGGTGCGTGGCAGCGGCTCTTCTCTCGAGTTTGCCTCGAGAGGAGGGCGGCCCCCGGCCAGTGGCCTTTAAAGGGACCGCAGGCTGCGGGGCGGGGCAGGGGCGGGGAGACTCGGGAGAGGCAGGAAGGACGACCCCGGGGAACCACCGCCCGACAGAGCCGCTGGGTCGGCGATGGGGGGCGCCCGAACGAGGGTGGATTTCGGGGCGTCTTCTGGAAACGGACGGGATAGCTGGAGGATTTTGTACGGGAAAGGCTCTATTCGGTACAACTCCGTCTGCCTTCGGCCCCACCGCTGTCCGCCTCGCACCACTTCCCCCGACCCCAGCTCGCCCCTCCTCGCAGCCCAGCACGCCCAGGTGTGGGGGCGGGCGGAAGGGACCGCTTGCCCTCTCGCCGGAGGTGGGGTCTAAACGAAGGTCCACCGCGAGACCTCTGCCCTCCACCCTCCCGATTTTCAGGGGACCCGAGGGACGTGCCCTCGCGATTCCTCCCTCCCCTGGCCGCAGCCTGTGCGCCCCCCGCCCCCCACGCCCCTGCGCCGCGAGCCGAGCCCCGCGCGGGTCCGGAACGCCGGCTTCCGCTCGCGCTCCCGCAGCCGCGCGGAGTCCCGTGACGCGAGGCGACGCTTCTCGTGCTGGCCGCGAGAAGCCGCCCCCGCGGCGGGCGACACTGTCCCCGTGCGACTTTCGCTCTCCTTGGATTTCCCCTCCGTCAGCAGCCCTGCCCGGCAGGATGCTCCTTTCCCGGAAGACGGGCTTAGGGTGGTCGTGGGCCTCGGACTGTGAGAACGCTCCAGCGGCCCTGGGGTTGGGAGAGCTGCTCCTTCTGAGTCAAACCCTGCTCTCCCCATGGCTGTTGCACTAACTGCGGTGGAAGCACCAGTCCCCGCAAGGCCCTCCTTTGCATCTGCTGTGGACAGCTCACTGAGGGACCCAAAGACAGGTTGTATTTGCTACCTCCCCATGCCCTGCACACCAACCCCCAACCCCTTTGGATTCTGCGGCCCGGGTCTTGATAGTCTCCATAATTTTTGAACAAAAGGCTGGGCATTTTCTTTCTGCACTGAGTCCCGCAAATTATGTGGCGGGTCTTGCTCTTCACCCCGTTGGGTGAGGAAACGGGGTTCCTCTGTCTTTGAACGCGTGTCCTCCTGACCCAGACCAGCTGTATGACCCCGGCCCTCCTTAGCTTCTAGTTTTCTTAACAAAATCGGCCTGAAAAGGAGACAGAGGTGTCGGCAGCCCTCCCAGTTCCACCGCTCTGACTCAGTGGTCACTGCCTGTCCTCTTAAAACCTGGGTTCAGTTTGGTTGGTTCATCAGACCAAACCAGCAACCAACGTTGGGGACATCCTGAAATCTCTTAGACCTCAGATCCCCTACCCCTCCCCTCTTCCCAGGCTGGAGATGGGTCTCCCCCTAGTGCCTGGTGGGGGAATCTTCATTTTGCTTTTCGTTTTCCCCTTGGAGTAATTTTTAGGTAATTCTGAACCTTTCTTTGAGTGGGTGGCCAGGAAATTCCCAGCCTGCTTTGGTCCATGGCTCTTCCTTATGGCAGGGATGATTGTGGAGTGCTCTGCCTCTGCAGCAAGGGACAAGCCGCAGGCTCCTTGGGTCTCACCAAGAGCTAGAGCTTCTCATCTCCTGAGGCGTATCTGAGCAGTGGGAAGAGTGACCCACAGTGGCCAAGGCCATGGGGCTGCAAAGAGAAGGAATTGAGATTCAGGAGTGTGAGCCGCCAGCCACCTCCTGCTCCCCACTTCCACCTTCCCTCTCCCCGTCTGAACCTTGCTTTCTCTACCTCAGTGGCTTTCAAACTTGGGCTTGCCTGGCAGTCACCTGGAGGGCTTGTTAAATCGTGGATTACTCCCCCCCCCCACACACACAGTTTCTGAGTCAGTGTGTTGGGGCGGGGGTTTGAGATTCTGCATTTTCAATAAGTTCCCAGGAAGTGTTGATGTTGCTGGACCCACTGCTTCCGATCTAAGGCTTCTCCACCCTTTTCCCCGCAGGACAGGCCAAGTTCCTTGGGAAACTCCTGAGAAAAGCCCAATGGGAGGGCCATTCGGAACGCCTTTGGCTGAAGGATTAAAAAGGAAAGTACAATTTGCCTCTGCACTCCCTCTCCCATCTCTCCCACTTTGTCTGCAAGCAGGCTCTTGGGGTTGTGCAGAAACCTGCACTGCCTATAAATACTTGTTTGTATCCACCCTCTGTTATCCATCCATCTCCACAGGCCTGAGCCTCGCTCTGGAGCTCCCTCCCTCCCGGGAGGGCAGTGGGCTGGGTGAGGTGCAGGGTGTGGACCCAGTGTGGTGAGCTCTGGGTGCCAGCATGGTGCGGCAAGAAAAACAGGGGACTTGGCGAAGTGTTCATCACTGGCAGGCCAGTTTTCAGATGTCATTTGTGAAATAATTGCCAACAATCACATCTCTGCCCCTTACCCCCACCTCAGCCACCAAGCATGAGGTAGGGTGGTGCATGCCAGATTCTCTGGGCAAAGAGGCTCATAGGATGTGTGTTTCCTCTGGTCCTGGGAGCCCAGGGACTCTGTGGAATAATCAGGGGTAAACCCCTTGCAGGTTGCCTGAGCTGCACAGAAAATTGCTCTGGTTTCTGTTTTCCCGAGGCTGCTCCCAGCACGGAGTCGGGGAGGAGGCTGTGCAGGGCCAAAGCCATACAGTTGGCTTCTGGGATGGGAACAGAGATGAAAATGGAGATATCGTAACTGCATGTAGCCAATCCAAGAGTTTATCAGGTTTATCTTCAGGTTCATCTCCCTGAGCTAAGCAGTTAAGGTCTGGAGAGGTAGTTGCCTCCCCCGAACCCAACAGGAGACTCCCTGCCCGGGACTTGTTCCTCTTTCCAGCCCAGACCCTTCTTCCTTTAAAGAGCATCAGCTCCCTCCCACAACACACACACACACACACAAACACACACACACACACACACAGCATGCGCACGACCCATTGCTCCCTCCCCAGGGAAGCTCTACATAAGCTCCGCTCTTATTGTAGGGTTGGCACGACGTCTGACCCTGAGCATGACCATCGCTGGGATCCCTCTCTGTCTTGCAGGCTGCAGGGGTCAGGCGACAGCGTCGCAGACACACCTCCGCTGGGAGTTTTCTGGTACCTTAGCAGATCCTCTCGGCCCAGGGCCATCGACTTTCTTCTGTTTGGAGTGCGCTCCCAGAAGAGCGGGTATGCTGTTTTCACTGTTGACCAAGCGGAGGATTATGATGGTGAGGTCAGTGGGTGAGGTCACTTCCGAGGTGGTCCCAGCACCTGTCAGTTCCTCCACTGGGGGCCTCGTTTCAAGCTTGTCCCCCAACCCCCTCCCGAGCTTCCTAGCAGGAAGGAAAGTGGAAGCACCCATGGGGCCTGACTTTCTGAAGGGGAAGTTTTTGGTTTTGTTTGGCTTTGAGGCTTTCGAAGTCTGAAATCCCCGAAGCCTTTAGGGACCTTCTGGTGGTTCTGATAGCACCCTTCTCTGCGCAGGGTCACTGGGCCTGTCAGGGCAGGTCAGGTTATGCTGCAGTAATAAACAACCCCCAGCTCTCCGCGCCTTTGAATCAGAGACTTCTTTCAAACTCATGGGATGTGCCCTCTGCCGTTTGGAAGGAGACTTTTCACCAAAGCCAAGGGAGCAGCCACCACATCCAGCGTTGCCAGTCGCCATGCCAGAGGGAAGCTGAGAGAGTCAGGAGGGTGGTCCTCCGCCCCCTAAAAAGATCCAGTCATTTCCATTCACAGCTCACTCATTGGCCAAGACAGCTTGAGATATTTGGCCAACAGCAATCTTCAAGGGCACAGAACAATGATCCATTCAACAAGTAATTATTTAATATCCACTACATATCAGGTGCTGTTCTAGGCACTAAAGGTGCAACAATGAAATAGACATATTCTTGGGACTTACATTTTCGTGGTAGGGCCAGGTAATAAACATACAAATATAGGTGTAATATACTATCAGGTCAAGTGCTGTGATGAGAAATAAAGCGCGTTAGGGGGACGGAAAGTGACAGGGGCTAATATGAGACTGGGTGGTCTCTGAGGGGCAGGCGTCTAAACATAGACCTGAATGGCGCAGGCCCGGTGTCTCTCTGAGCAAGGGCTCAGGATAGGGACCAGGGGACACGACAGTCCCTACACTTCCCCAAACATTGTGAACCAGTTTGTTCCAAACGTGTGCTCCCGGTGTCCAGAGACTGATTCGGAAGTCTGGATATTGGCCCGTATTTTATAGGAGAGTTTGATCAGTGTGACTCGCAGACCACGCTTTGAAAATGGGACCAACGCGGTGTGCTGTGTGTGTGTGGGATTATGTGACCCTCCGTAGACATTTGAGGGAAAACGCTCTGACCCTCGTTAACCACGGGAGTCCAGCTCCCCAAGCCACTTCCCCTCCTTCCGGGGCAGCTGTCACCCCCAGAGCTCCGCCTCCCGAGGAAGTGGGCGTTGCTTGCGTTGTGTGACGCGTGTCAGTGATGCCTCCCATTTCTGAACTCTGAGCAGGCACCGAGACAGAACGCTGTCAGGGGACTAAAATGTTTGTCAAAGTCCCTCGTAAAAGGCCACATGTGCTGAACACCTACTGTGTGTGGCAGGCACTCTTTGCCTGCGTGACTTCAACTCCTTGGCCACCCTGTGAAATGGCTGGCATTCCTACCTCACAGGTGAGAAGACTGAAGCTCGATGAAGTCGCCTTTGCACTGCCCACCTGCTGTGGTAGAAGTGGCAGTGTTTGAAAATCTCTGATCTTTGCCGGTGCAGCTTAAAGACCGGCAAAATCTTTCCCCGTTTTTCTCTCCCGACTGAAATCCCGTGCGCTCTCCAGGTGCGTCCGCAGGCCAGGCCAGGCCCTCCGCAGAGCCCTCCCGCCGCCACCCCTCTTTCTCCTGGGCCCCGACTTCTCCTGTGTCTCTGACACTCCCATCATCACAGTGCGAATCGCAATGAAAAGTTGGCATTTTCGCCTCCCTCACTTGGCTCTTCTTGCTCTTTCTGATCACGTCGTGTGGGGCAAGTAGCAGGTGCTCATGAAATGTTTAAGACGTGAGCCCCGCTGACTGCTCCCCGCCCATCCCTAACCGGGACTTATCTCTTCACACGCCTTCAAGCCCGGTCCCTGCCCCCAGAGAGGGAGGGGGTGGGGAAGTGTCAGTCTGGGGAGAACAGGGGGTGCCCAAGACAAACTGCGCGCCTGCGGGCAAGTGGGGTGGTGTGGGGAGCTCTGGTCCAGATGCATGTGTTTCCTCCGAAGGTGCTGGCCAGTGGGCTGGATTTCCTGTCCCAGGTGCTAGTAGCTGTTCAGGGCTGAGGTCTGGCCGCTCACCATCCCCACTTCAGGGGGATGGGCTTTCTTTGTGTCACCAAAGTCGAGTGCTCCTGTGGGGATCATCTAGGTCCTTGAAGGTGCTTGGGGACAAGGAGGGCAAACCAGGGTGGGAACACGAGCAGGGATTTGAGGGCCCCCGGAAGGGCCTGGAAAGGTGTCGCCTTGTAGGGTGGGGTAGGGTGAGGCGGGGCCTGTTTTCAAGCATTTGAGTGACGCCTTCTCCGCCAGTGTCTCAGTTAACGGGATTTTTCCATCCCTGGCCACTCTGCCAGGCTCACGATAAGAGTGGTTTGTGTGATTGTTTCATCTTTCCATGCTGGAAAAACTCAGCTATTCCAGGCAGATTTGTCAGCAGCTTTTTCTCCTCAGCCAGAGGGGAGGCTCCCAGCCACAGCCGCTTACATTCCAGCACTAAGCCAGCTCTGGGCCCGTCGCTGTGGCGGAAGCCAGGACTGGGCCTGTGACAGACCAGCGGGAGCAGAGCGGCCCGGGGACCTCCCAGCCTACCCCTGCTCCCACCCCAGCCCACTCACACACCCCGTCTCTCTTCTGGGTCTCTGTCTTGCTCCCTCATGTCTGCTTCTCTCCCCTCATTCTCTTTCCCGCTTGTCCACTGCATCTATTTCTCCCCTTCTCTCCATCCTCCCCTCCTCCCCTACCACCCCCTCTCCTTTCCTCACCCTCCTTGCTTATCTCACCCTCCCCCACCCTACCCCGTCTCTCTGGCAGAGGGTGCAGGGAAAGGACCCAACTACTTCAAGTGGCTGCTGTAATTCCAAGGACAATAAAATTGAAGCTACTTCAGGTCATCCTGGCCCGTTCCTTACCACCTCCCATTGGGGTTGCCTGATTCAGGATCTTTTCTGCAGTGGAGGGAAAAGAAGCCAGGAGTTCCACCCTTCACAGACTCACAGAAGCAGTCTGGAAGCGAACCCCAAATGACCAGTGGCGGCAGTCCTCTGAGGCCTCCCTGCTGAAGTGAGTGAGAAGCAGCCCCGTGCGAGCAAAGGGTGAGCCCAGCAGGAGAGTGGCCAGGCCTTTGTGGAGACCTGTGCTGTCCCTGAGGCTGGCTTCCCCGCCTCAGCTGCCGGAGCGGGGCTGGTGTCTGGGCCAGTGCGCACCCGCCAGTGGCCTGTGCGGGGCCATGCACGTCTTCTGCAGCACGCCTGCGGACTCCGCCTCAGGCCTCTCAAACTTCAGATTCTCAAACCTGAGATTCTTGGGTAAGAATCTCAGCAAGATGAGGGAAACCAGTTAGCAATGGAGGCTCCTGGGCCACGTCCTTGCTGATTGGAATCAGGAGGTGGGTGAGGTCCCAGAATGTGTGTGTGTTTAAAGATTTTATTTATTTATTTTGAGAGTGAGGGGAAGGGAGAGAGAAAGAGCGACAAAAATATTGATGTGAGACACATCGACTGGTTTCCTCTTGTATCCGCCCCCACTGGGGATTGAACCCACAACCCAGGCATGTACCCTGACTGGGAATCAAACCAGTGACCTTTCAGTTTGCAAGATGATGCCCCACCAACTGAGCCACACGGGTCAGGACCCAGGTTCTGTGTTGTGATTCCTGATGCCTTCCGGTGGAGAGGACACCTCATGGATTCTGAGAAGGAAGTGGAGACCGTGGCCCAGCAGCCGGGCCTTCCAGACCTGGCGGCACTGCCAGCCCGGGAGCCGGGATGTGCCCCCTGCGTCCTTGTAGGTAGGCCCCTCGTAACCTGAGCCAGACTTTCCAGAGGGGCTGGTCATGAATCTGAATGCCGGGTGGACCCTCCCCGGGCATTTGTGACTGATCCCAGCTACTGCTCACCGAGCCTCTCTGAGACGCACATCTGTGGCCGACCCACCCTGCACCAGGGCCTCCAAGCCAGGGGAGGCGGGGCTGGGGAGGGCGGGCAGAGAACTCACGTTCTGTCTCAGGTACTTTGTGGAAACAGCTCGTCTATTTCTACCTAAAACTTTGAAAGGTATCCTCTCCATTTCACAAATGAGAAAACTGAGGTAGTGTTTCAATCCACCACCCCCCATAGGCACCAAAGAGTCGTATCTTTAAAATTCAATTTGGACTTGACCTACAACCTGTTTCTATGGAGCCCTGAGGGGAAGCCCAAGCTCCTTAGTGTGGCCCGTGAGGACCTTTTGGGTCTAACTCCTCCCTTTCCTCGACGCCGACTTCCCATGTCCACTTGCTCCCCAGTGACAGGGGCACTCCTAGTTCCTCTCACGCCGAGGCAGGCGCAGCTCACGCTGCCGGGGATGCCTGCCATGCCTTCGTCGCCAGGCAACTCTGCTCCCCTGCCCCCCAAGCCCTTCTCCGACCCCCTCCTGGCTGAACTAAGCACCCTGCCCTGTGATGATGATGATGGTGACAGTGATGTGATCCTACATTTGAGCAGTGTATTGCTGTTGTCACCGCGCTGTCCTCAGGATAGTGAAATGCCTTCTGCCCTTGAGGTGAGCGCCCCAGGGGCAGGCAAGGGCCTCAATCACCTGGGAACTTCAGGCGCTCACTTTGCATCTGAGGAACTGAACGGCCCTTCATTTTCTTTTCCGTGCTGTTAGGAATCAGAGAGGGGAGTTTGAGGGGCCCTCAGACACCTGAGGATCTTACAAGGTGCTTCTGGTGGTGGGCCTTGCTGCGGCCCCCACCCGCTGTGGAGATGCATTCAGTTCTGCAGAACTTTAGGTGGGTGGAGGCACCCATGTCCTGGCTCTGCCCTGCACTGGGAGGAACTGGAGCCTTTGACTAGGTCCCCTGCTGGGCTTTGCTCATGAGATCATAGAGCCTGGGTCATATATTTCATCCTCCAACAATCTGCACTTGGCTTTCAGGGATCCCCTGGCTCTCTTGCTGAGCTCCACCAAGCATGCGGGGTCCAGAGCAGCTGCCAGGGAAAACCCACGGTGGGAGTTCCCTGCAGGGCCATCGAGGATCCGGAAGTGTTGGCCTAAACACAGGCCGGCAGAGCCCGCCGGAGGTGGCCCAGTGCCCAGTGCCACCGAGGGAACAGCTGGCTTCTGGGGCCCCAGAATCGGAACCCACTGGGCTTCAGGGCCCCATGACATGAGGTCCAAATGGCACACATAAAGCCACTCGGGCCAGATGCAAGCACAGCCCCAGCAACTCTCCGCAGGGGCTTTCGAGGGGCTGGGCTTTCCATGGGGAAGCAGCCTGGAGGCTGTCGGGCGCCCAGACCCCGTGGCCTGCCTCGCTCTGCCTCGCTGTCCGGCAGAGTGGCCTCTGAGGATGTGGAAACTCCAGCAGGGCAGAGGGATTTCTGGGGCTATCTAGGGTCAAACATAATGTTGTCTTTACGTTTCAAAGCACACAACGCAGCTCCTCATTTGTGTCCCTCCCCTGCTAGGGCCGCTTGACTGCGGGCCGCCTCCCCCAGCCCCCTGCACCCCTCCCCCCAAGTCAGGTGGGTAGTCTAGCTCTGGTGAAGGGACCCTGGAGGTTCCGCAGGGGAAAGACTGAATTTGCCCGAGTCTGAATGCCTCACCCAGGCACCATGTTAGCTTCTGGACAAATCGAGGGAGTACCCCAGACGGCCCATGGCAAAGCTCAAAGTCAGTGTTTTACACGCAGCCTAGGGTTCAAACAGAGGTGGGGTGTGGGGAAAGAGCAGTGGGCACTTAGATGGCAGATTGGAGGGGTTTGTTTTTGTAAAGAAGGACCTTCTTTTCTTTCTCTCCAAGCTGCAGGCCCCTTACACAGCTTCCCAAATGACAGGAGTCCAGAGAAGAGAGGAATGAGGAAGCAAGCCCTCTCAGTGGGGGGCGGGGGGGGCCTTTCCCTGAAATTAGGGCCCATTCGGGAAAGGCAGGAATCAGGAAGCGGCCAGCCCTGCCTCCCTTTCCCAGCCCTTCCCCTCACAGATCCTCACCCCACGCCTCTGGGATGCCGAGTGCACCAGCTTCCCCTGCAACTCGACAGGCACGGCCCAGTGAAAGCCACTCAGAAGTAGAAAAGAAGGCACGTTTATTCCACTCCATGGAGTGCAGGCCTCTTCCCCCCCAGGGCTCTGGACAGACGGGCCTGTCCCTGTCGCACGGCCGTTGCGGCCCCTGCCGGCTGCATGTCCCTGGACTGGTGGGGCCTTGGCAGGGACAGAGAAGGGGGCGGGTCGCTGGACAGTGGCTTCCAGCCTCCACCCCCCATTCTCTCTACCTCAGGGCCAGCCAGACGGAGAGCAGAAGGAAAATCAGACCCTGTGACACCTGTGGGCGTGGCGAGCCTCAGAAATCACAGGAGAGGGGAGAGGGCTGCGTGCTCGAGGAGAAACACCTTACTTAGGAGGCAGGAAGACTAGGATTAGGCTGTTGGACCCAGCACCCTGGGGGGCGCCCCGGGAGGCTTCCTCTTCTTTTCCCTGAGGACGGAAGCCCCATAAACTGGGGGTGGGGGTGGTAGGCTGGGGGAGCCTCTTCTCCCCAGGGCCCCGCAAGGTTCAGCCATACAGGCCAGGGCGATGGCGGAGCTGTCCCTGAGCCTGCTGAGTAACATCCGAAGCTCTGCCTGGGCAGCGGGTCCTGACAGAGGTGGTCAGGTGCCCTGGGTGCTGTGTGCTTCCTGCAGAAAGGCAGCAGACGGTAATGCTGATGACATCTCCCGGCTGTCGGCTGGGAGGGAGGTAGGCTGGCGAGATGGGACCAGGGATTGTCCTGTGTCGGGCCCCACAGTGCAGGCAGGAGCACAGTGTTTGAATGATTCTAATGCTTCAGGACACCTCGTGCACCCCACAGAGGTTAGACATCAGAAGCCGACTGGACCCTAATCAACCTGCAATGAAAGGCACAAGTCAGCTTCTCCCACCCAGCGGAGCAGCCTGCAGCCCGCCCCCCAGGGCCAAACACGGCTTTCAGGAGCTCCAAGGCATTCCGAGTGCTCAGCTCTGCTCTGGCAGCCTCCTGCCCCCTGAGAAAAATCTCTGTGGTTCTCACCCCTGACTACACACTACAGTTGCCTGGGAAGCTTATAAAAATGCCCCACCCTGGGCCACGCCCAGAGCTTGTCAGCAAGACCCGAGGCATCTGCACTCTTTAGAGCTCTCCTGCCAAGCCCAGTGCAGCGGGGTTAGGAGGAGGAAAGAGGAATTCACACGGCTTCTCCAGGCCTCTGGCTGCAGTGCTGAATAAGGAAGTGAAAATTCACTAAAATAAAGTTTTGAGCTATCTGTAAATAGGCTACATATCACAGCAAGGAAAATTTATGTCGGCACTAAAATTAGAACTTCCTGCCCACGAGGGCTGTTTTGGAAGGGCTGTCCAAGAAGCTGTCGAGTCCCCTCTTTGAGGGTGTATGAGGCGGAGTCTCCCCTGGCCAGAATGCAACGCGGAGGAGATGCCTCCTCAACCCGAGGACCCTCGGAAACTCTGGAGGCAGCCGCCAGCTTCTCAGGCCTCCCCGCCTCCCGGCCCAGCTCTAGCGCCCTAGACTGGCACGGCCCCGGGGACGCCTACCACTTAGCAAGCCTCTGCGCGCTCCCTCCTCCCTCCGCAGCGCAGGGCAGATCTCAACCTCGTTAATCCCCACCCCTGCGCCCAGAAGCTCAGAGCCGAACAGACCTCGGGGGCACACCCGCTGGTAGGGAGCAGAGTCAGGAGTCAAATCCTGTTGGAATCTGCGCAGTTTTCCCACCATGCCACGGGTTCCCCCGTGGGGAGGTGACAGACACACGGATGACAGGCGAGTCCTCGACCCCGCCTGCCTGCGCGGTGCACTGCATGTAGGCAAACCCACCGACCCTCCCCGATTCTGACATGATGTCCTTCCTCCTCTTGGTGAATTTTGTGAAATTCCTTGCTTTTGTGAATTTTACTGGTGCACAGAACCCAAAGGTCTGAGCCTGCTGCCCTCCCCCAGCGCCCCTGACCCCCGAGGAGGGGATCAACTCAGGCGATGGAGCGGAGTGGCTAGTGCAGGGCCTGCAGCCGGGGCGGGCCTGTGAGCATCTGCCCAGAACAGGGGCCCCACGAGCCAGAGAAACACGGCCTCGGGCAGCGACCAGGCCCCATGTGTGCCTTGGTTTCCTGGCGCAGGACATGCAGACGCCACGACGTCACTCAAGGCCGGGTCTGGGGATTAAAGGATCGTTTGGGGAGGCGCCAGGCAGAGCCCACAGCCACGGCCGCAGGTCCCGTGCCCCAGCCCCATCTCTGCCTGCCCGAGAGTGGTTGTAGCATTGAGGTCATGTGAATCTTCTGTCGTAGATCCTCCAATTGCTTAAAACCAGGTGAAGTTTTTATCTCTGAGGGCACCGTCGCCCTGGAGACTGCAGTGGGAGCCTGCGCCATGAGAGGACAGCGACACCCCTGAGGACAGGCCGAAGCTCTGAAGACGGACAGACACCTGTCATCACACCCTGGAGGGGACGGGGGACAGGGACCCTGCAACCCGACTTCAGGGCGCCCTGAGGACCCAGCCCTCCCTGGCACACAGCGGGACGCCTTACCCTTCGATGATGTGGTTGTTGTCCTGCAGGTCGAAGGCCAGCAGCTTCATCTCCTCCAGGAGCCCCTCCATGCTGTCCAAGGCAGAGGCAAGAGAGGCGGCTGCTCCTGAGGCTCAGGCTGCCCGGGGCGAACCCCTGCCCCGGGAGGCCCCCACCCAGCCTCCTTATTCCCACCCCTAGGCCTGTTGTGAGGCAGACGCCTTGGCCCCTGACCTCAGCACCCGATGCCCTCCCATCACCCCTTGAATGTCCCTCTCTTACTGCACTTACTGGAGACCCAGGTCCTTTAGTTCAGGACTAGAATAAGGAGCTGGGGGTGCTGGCGAGGCCTGAGCCCCCTCTGTCCTATCCTGAGGGTGCCGGTGAGATAGCAAGTCGAGGATCTGAAGGGAAGCACATGGCAGTCAGAAGGGAAGAGCCAGCTCACCTGTGGGGCGGGACGGTGCTGAGGACAGGTAAGGAAAGGGTAACTACCCAGCCCCCAGCCCACATCCTTGGGGCACCCAGACCTCTGGAGTCCTTTCTGCAAGCCCCTCCTTCCCACCCTGGGGTGCGGCTGGCGTAGCCGCCTCCACTGTCTGTGCTTGGATTTAGTGATCCAGACCACCAAGTCCTCCTGTGTCCAGCCTGCACCCCTAATGGCACAGGTGCCAGGAGCTGCGGAGAGGGGTGGGAGGCAGCCTGCGCTTGGGGAGGGCAGAAGGAGCCACGCTGGTGCTCTCCTGGAAGGAGTAGCCCTCCTCTGCTCCTGGTGGCAAAGCAGGCAGCTGGCTTCTCCAGTTGCCTGTGTGCGGGACTCCTCTCAGGAGGTCAAGGGGAGTTCACACCACCTCTCTCAGGAGCAGCCTGGAGCCTCCCAGGCTGTGCAAGGGGTGGGGGTGGGGGGGCAGTGAGGTAGATATCCCGGCTTTCTGGAGGCTCTGCCCTTGCAGTGACCTTCAGTCTGAGATCTCTAGGAAGTGCCTTCCTCTTTCTCCATCCCCACCTCAGGGCACCTTTGTGGGTCAGAGACCTCCAACCCACACCAAAGTGGGTGGACCTGGTCAAGGGCAGCTCTGCCCAGAGCCAGGGGAATGGCCCAAATGCCCCCGGAGCACCACGTGGACTGGGCTCCCCCAAGCAGCCCCCAGTCGGTGCCCCTGAAGGTCTCGCACCTCGCTGAGGCCCTCCTGGACCCCCTGGGCCTCCGTGCTGCAGGCAGCCACTGAGCAGGCAACCAGGCGCAAGTGGTTCCTGACCTCGTGCAGCACCCTGGAGAGAGCAGATGAAAAGTGAGAGCCAGGCTCTTAGGGGGCCCACCCAGCTGCCATTCCACAAACGTGGAGGAGAGGCTTCCAGCAACAGAGGCCGGAGCCCACGGGTCCCAGGCATTAGCCTCCCTCATTGCCTCCGCCCATCTGGGTGTGCCCTCAGCTGTCCGCTGCCCCACTGCAAGAGTGCTCATGTTCTGGCTGAGGCTGGTGAGTGTCCCATCACAGCCACATGGGAGCATGCGCTGGGCAGGGTCGCTCAGGCAGCCAGGATGGGCGCAGGGCCAGGTCAGGCTGCGGAGTGGCTGAGGACAGCCCACACTCACTGTGGGAATTCCTCATGCTCCCGTTTCAGAGGAAATCAAGGGCAGGGCTCTTATACGAATTATCTTCCCTCTCTAAGCAGAGAGGCTGAGCAAGAACCTTTTCCCATTACACAAAAAGGAAACCAAGTCTGGGGGTTAAACCAGTGGCTGATTCTCAACCCTGGCTACACATCAGAATCACCTGAGGAGCTTTTAAACCACTGCTCTCCAAGCCAACTCTGGACCAATTAAATCAGAATGTGGGGTGGGGGGTGGAGGAGCTGGGCATTGGTATTCTAATGTCAGGGTAGGAGGGTGCCTGGGCCTCTGCCCATAACAAGCCCATAGGCCCAGTGACCTCAAACAGACAGCACCTGGGAAACTGCCCTCCCTGCCCGAGCGGACCGGTACTCCTGCAGGTAGGGGAGCAACAGAGGGACTGTCTGAGCAGGGAGAACACACCCTCCTATGGGGGACGCCAGTGAGAGAGGGGTCTCTGCCCACCCCGACTCCCCTGTCCCCTTGTCCTCTCCCCAGGGGGACCTGAGAGTGTTCTCCCCCAAAGAGGGTGGGCTCCCCCACCTGACCACCGGGGACTGGGGACAGAGTCCAGAGTTCAGGGGCCGTCACAGCCACACGCCAGTCCTGGGCCTGCTGCCTGCCAGACCTGCTCTCTGGGCCTCAGCCCCTCACCTGGGAGACGGGGTGATGGCGTGCCCCGCACGGGGCAGACACTGCAGGACTCGACAAGTGACAAGCGGAGGCACAGGACACGCACAGCAGACTGCCTGGCCACTCAGGGCCGCAACCCACCCCTCTTTGCCTCTGTCCCTTTACCGCCACCTCCCTCCCAGTCAGGGCTCTGCGATGCCACGGCTGCCTGGGCCCGGGGTCCACGAGCCCAGGAGGGAGGGCAGGACTGTTACCTCATGTGATTGCCGTGAGTGACCAGAGACGCCTGGTACTTCTGCACACACTCCTCCTGGAACACCTGCAGGAGCCTCTTGGCTAAGTGACTAAAATTCACCCTGAGAAGAGCAGGGAAACCGAGGCACAGAGATAAGCAGTCGGAGACACCTGAGCGCAGGCCGAGCACGCCTGGGTCTCCACACCCAAGTGCCAGCTCCTGGGTGCACGGCAGGGCTGTCTCTCCAAAGAAAGAGGACCGTGGAGACAGAGTGACTGGCACACAGCAAGGCCAACAGAGCGACATGGGAGGACAAGGGCCCCCGGAGAACTCACATGCTCCCAAGCTCAGCCCCCAGAGGGAAGTGTGTGTAGGTACAGGGGTCAGGGTGGGTGTAGGGCTGAGGGAGTGTGTCCTTAAATAAGCCCTAAGTCAGGGAGGGCCTCCCGGGACATGACAGCCCAGGAAGCAGGAGAGAGGGGAGCCCAGGGGAGGCTCGGGCAGAGGTCAGAAGCAGTGGGGGGTAAGTCAGTGAGGACACCTAGGGAAGGAAACCCTACAAACAATCTTGTTCAGAAGTAAATCCAGTGTCACCATCACTGCTTCTGAGGAACCTCCTCCCGCTCAGCCACACAATCTCCTTCCCTGGCTCTGGATAACCTGCCCCCGAAATAGTTACAGCACCATTCCCCCGCCCAGCGATGGTCTGGGGTCAGGGCCCTTCACCCCGTCTTGTCTGGCACAGAGAGTCGCTCTGCCCAGAGACATCCACCCTCCCGCCCACCCCCCTGCCAAGGGACAGGCCACTCACTTATCCAGTTTGTGAATCTGCTCCTCGTTGTAGCCAAGCCCTGAGGGAAACAGAAATGATGTCACCTGTTCGGTCAACACAATGGAAGGCCCCAAGGGCTGGGGACAACTACAGAGATGAAGGCAGCCCGGCCAGAACCTTGCTCCACAGGAGCTCACAGCCCATCGGAGCCGGGAAGGACGGAAGGAGTGAACCAAGCACCCACGAAATGGCACTGCGACAAGGGAGGGGCATACCTGGGGCAGGTGAATGCTGCGGATGGGAACAAGATGGGCCTTGAAGGAGGCTGGGTCAGCCCCGGCCCCTCAGCCAACCTCCCTCCAGGAGTGACCGGTTCCTACAGCCTCACCTCTGAATATTCAGGCTGCAGGGCAGCCAGCTCGGCTCTGCAGCAGAGAGCTGCATGGGCCAGGTCCCTTCGCAGCCCAGCCCCTTGAACCAGAAGGGCTGAAGTTTTCACTGCCTGGGCACCTCCTGATGCTCTCTTCCTGGGAAGATGCTGCCCCCTCCTGGGCTTCAAGGGAATGGGCTTTCGGGCCAGTGGATTCCCAAGAGCAGGGAGGCAAAGGTTATGTTGTCAGCCCCACCTCCACACCCCTAGCACCAGAATCCGCTTCCTGGGCTCTTCATCCTGGCCCGGCCCTCTGCCACCTGGGCACATGTTAAGTTCAAGCTGCAAGTCGCATCCCTGCTTCCTGTTAGCAGGGGGCTGGCTGTAAGTGCACCTTCACCTCACTGAGTCCATTTCCTCGCCTGTCTTGTGAGACACACGGGCCTGGTGTGAGGGTAGGGAGACAGTGCCCTATTATCTACTGAGCACAGTCAGAACGGAATCTTTCAGTACTCTAAGGGTTGTTCTTCCTGGCCCATCTGTAACTTTAATAAAGGATACTTGAAGACCACAGCAATAAAACTCTTTCTGAGGCTGTAAAATAAGGTGATTGAAAGCAGCCGGACCTCATGGTACTGGCAGAGAAACAGACGTCTACACTGATGGAACAGAATGGAGGCCAGAAATAACCCCAGGCCTATATGGTCAGCTAACATGTGACAGAGAAGGCAAAAATACACCGTGGGGTGAAGCCAGTCTGCTTAGTAAATGGTGTTGGGAAAAGTGGACAGACACACGCAGAAAAGATGCAACTAGATCGCCTTCTTACACCATGTACGAGAGTAAGCCCAAAACGGATTCCACTTCAGTGTAAGACCGAAATCATAAAGCTCCTAAAAAAAGTCGGCAGTCAAACCTTTGACATTTCTCTCAGCAACATTTTTTTCTGATATATCGACTCAGACAAGAAAAACAAAAGAAAAAACAAACAAGTGGGATCACATCAAACTAAAAAGTGTTTGCACAGCAAAGAAAACTACCATCAAAACGAAAAGACAGCCTGTTGGATGGGAGAAGATATTTGCCAATTATACATCTGATAACGGGTTACTATGCCAAATTTATAAACAACTCACACAACTCAGCACTAAAACCCCCAAACAACCCAATTAAAAAACGAGCAGAGAGCCAGAATAGACGCTTCTCCAGAGAGGACAGACAGATGGCCAATAGATATATGAAAAGACGCTCAATGTCACTAATCATCAGAGAGATGCAAATTAAAACTAAATGAAAGACCACCTCACACCTGTCAGACCAGCTACCATCAATAAATCAGCAAACAAGTGTTGGCAAGGATGTGGAGAAAAGGGAACCCTTGTGCACTGTTGGTGGGAATGCAGGCTGAGGCAGCCACTGTGGAAAACAGTTTGGAGAATCCTCAAAAATTAAAAATTGAACTGCCTTATGACCCAGCAATTCCGCTTCTGGGTATGTATCTGAAGAAACCCAAAACTAATTCAAAAGAACACATGCACCCTATGTTCAGTGCAGCACTATTTACAACAGCCAAGACAGGGAAGCAACCAAGTGCCCATCCACAGACCAGCGGATAAAGAAGATGTGGTACGTATATACAGTACAATATTACTCAGCCATAAAAAATGAACTCTTACAATTTGTGACAGCATGGATGGACCTAGAGGGTGTTATGCTAAGTGAAATAAACCAGTCAGAGAAAGACAAATGCCATATGATTTCACTCATATGTGGAATCTAAAGAACAAAATAAGTGAACAAACAAAATGGAAACAGACTCATAGACACAGAGAACAGACTGATGGTTGCCGGAGGGGAGGGGGTTTGGGGCTGAGTGACAACAGGTGAAGGGATTAGGAAGTACAAATGGGTAGTTACAAAACAGTCATGTGGATGTAAAGTACAGCATAGGGAATACAGTCAGTAATATAATCCTATGTATGCTGCCGGGTGGGCACTGGAGACATCAGGGGACCACTTTGTAAGGTATGTGATTGTCTAACCACTACACTGTACACCTAACACTGATAGAAAAGAATATTGAATGTAAACTGTAATTGAAAGATAATAAAAAGAAAAAGCAGCTGAACCTACATTGCTCGGCCTACTCAACCTGCCTGTGTCTCAGTTTTCTTGTCCGTAAAACAGTAAGGCTAGCGGTGCCTGGACTTATGAGCATTAAATAAATTAAGAACATTCACAGCTTGTGAAACGTGGAAAGCACGTGGAAGGCGCACAGAAGAGCGCACAGAAGAGCAGCCACAATAGGGTTATCAAGTTCCAGGCATGGAGGCAGAAGAACCTCCGAGGTTCCCCTAACATGACAGCAACAGCGGGCAACTGAGTGCCGGCCAGTCTTGCTGAGCCCAAGGCCAGCTGGGGCTCTCCAGAGCAGGACCCAGAGGCAGGATTGGGCTCCGAGGAGGGAAGTTATCATCTTGATGCAGATGCCCAGCACGGTGGCCGGTGACGCATGTGGCTGCAGAGCACTTGATGGTGGCCAGTGGACTGAAGAACTGAACTTTTCTTTCAATTAATTCAATTAACTTAAACTTAAAAGCCAAAGCAGTGATAAAATATTTTTTCTCAGTAAACACAGTTTTATTGTTTTGGTAAGACTACATTTCACTTTGTCAAAAACTGCCTTCCAAACAGATGTGCTGTAAATGTAAACTGGGATTGTGACGGCTCAGCACACACAAAAACGCGTCAAATACCTCTTTAACGATTGTGTTAGGAAGTCCTAGCCACAGCAGATGAAACAAAAAGGCATTCAAATTGAAAAGGAAGAAGTAAAACTGTCATTATTTGCAGATAAGATACTATATAGAGAGACCCTCAAAGAGTCCACAAAAAATCTATTAGAACTGATAAATGAACTCAGTAAAGTACCAGAATACAAAATCAATGTTTAGAAATTGTTTGCATTTTATACACCAATAAGAGACTATCAGAAAGAGAAATTAAGAAAACCAGTCCTTTTACAATTTCACAAAAAATACATTGGAATAAATTTAACCAAGGAGGTAAAAGACCTGTACTTGGAAAATTATAAGACACTGAAGAAAGAAACTGAAGACACAAATAAATGGAAACATACACCGTGCTCATAGATAAGAAGAACTGACATTGTTAAAATGTCCACAGTACCCAAAGCAATCTAGAGATTCAATGCAATTCCTATCAAAATACCAACAGCATTTTTTACAAACTAAAACAAATAATCCTAAAATTTATATAGGACTACAAAAGACCTCGAATAGCCAAAGCAATCTTAAGAAAAAAAAATTTGGAGGTATCATGTTACCTGATTTAAAACTATACTACAAGGCTATAGTAACCAAAACAGCATGGTCCTGGCATTAAAAACAGACACACAGGATCCGTGGAGCAGGACACAGAGCCCAGAAATAAACTCACACCTGTGTGGTCAATTAATATATGGTAAAGAGGCAAGGATATACAATGACGTAAAGACAGGCTCTTCAACAAATGGTGATGCGAAAACTGGACAGACACACGCAAAAGCTTGAAAGCGAGTTACTTTCTTACAACATATACAAGCATAAACTCAACGTGGATAAAGGACTTAAATGTAAGACCTCCAAACCATAAAACCGCTACAAGAAAACACAGGCATTAAACTCTTTGACGTCATTCTTGGGAATCTTTTTTCTGCATATGTCTCCTCAGGCAAGGAAAGCAGAAGGAAAAATAAACACATAAGACTACATCAAACTGAAGAGTTTTTGCACAGTGAAGAAAACCATCAATGTAATGAAAAGACAACCTACTGAATGGGAGAAGATATTTGCCAATAATATATCCAATAAGGGATTAATATCCAAAATACATAAGAAACTCATACAACTTAATACCAAAAAAACCCCACAAACAATCCAATTAAAAAGTGGGCAAAGGACCTGAATAGACACTTCTCCAAAGAGGACATACAGATGGTCGATAGACATTTGAAAAGATGCTAAATGTCACTAATCATCAGAGAAATAAATGCAAATTAAAACCACAGTGAGATAGCACCTCACACCTGTCAGAATGGCCGTGATCAACAAATCAGCAAACAACAAGTGCTGGAGACGATGCAGGGAAAAGGAAGCCCTCACTCACTGTTGGTGGGACTGTAGATTGGTGCAGCCACTGTGGAGAACAGTATGGAGGTTCCTCAAAAAATTAAAAGTAGAACTACTATATGACCCAGCAATTCCATTTCTGGGTATTTACCTGAACAAATCCAAAACACTAATTCAAAAAAAACATATGCACCCCTATGTTCATTACAGCATTATTTACATAGTGGAGATCTGGAAGCAACCTAAGTATGTGTTGATAGATGACTAGTTAAAGAAGAAGTGGTACATACATACAATGGAACATTATTTAGCCATAAAAAAGAACAAAATCTTGCCATTTGTAACAACATGGATGGACCTAAAAGGTTATCATGCTAAGACAAATGTCAGACAAAGAAAGACAAATACCACCTTACTGGTATTTTCAGTGGATTGAATGGGGGCTGTGAACCAAAGGGTCACTGGTTCAATTCCCAGTCAGGGCACATTTGTGGGTTTGTGGGCCTGGTCCCCAGTAGGGAACATGTGAGAGGCAACCTATCACTGATGTTTCTTTCCCTCTCTTTCTCCTTTTCTTCCCCTCTCTCTAAAAATGAATACATAAAATCTTCAAAAAAAAGAGACAAGTACCATATGATTTTACTTATACATGGAATATAAAAAATAAATGAACAAACAAAAGAGAAACAGACTCATGGATACAGAGAACATCTTGGTGGTTGTCAGACAGGAGGGGTTGAGAGGATGGGTGAAAAAGAAGAAGGGACGAAGATGCACAAATTGCCAGTTACAGAAATAGTCACGGGGACGCAAAGTGTGGTGGAGGGAATACAGTCAATAATACTGTAATAACTATTTATGGTGTCAGATGGGTACTAGACTTATTGGGTGATCACCTCATAAATTATATAAATGTCTAAATATTGTGTTGTATACCTCAAACTAATATAATGTTACATGTCAATGTAATAGAAAGATTAAAAATTAACCCTGGCTGGTGTGGCTGAGTGGATTGAGTGACAACCTGCAAATCAAAGAGTCCCTGGTTCAATTCTTAGTCAGAGCACATGACTGGGTTGCAGGCCAGGTCCCCAGTAGGGGGCGTGCGAGAGGCAGCCACACATTGATGTTTCTCTCCCTCTCTTTCTCCCTCCCTCAACCTCAAGAGACAATTCGGGCCTCCCCAGGTCCCCCACTACCCCTATCCGCAGCTGTCTCTTGGGTTGGACCTGCCCCTGTCCCAAGACAGCAGTCACCTTGGGCAAACAGCTAGGGTAGCTGAGCCTGTCAGCAAGCTAGCCCTGCCCAGGTGGTCTTAGTGAGGCTTATAGATATTTCAGACCAAATGCCTGGCCCAGTGACTCTAAGTCATAGGTGGCAAATACAAGGCCTGTGGGCCGAGTCTGGCCCTCAACCTTGTTTTATCCGGCCCAGCACCTTGTTTCTAACCAATGGCAGCGCTGAGCTCTTGCTTAACTATTGAGGAGTAGTTACATTTATACAGTCCTAAAATTACATTCAGCCCTTTGAAGGCAACCTCAAGGCTGATGTGGCCCCCGGTGAAATGAGTTAGACACCCCTGCCCTAAGTGTATTTCTCTGGATCCTCCCTTTTCTGGAAAACCCTCTTTCAAAGGCCATGTCTTCTACAGCACCCAGGCTCCAGCTGCCTCGGCGCCCACGGATCAGCTCAGCCCCCACCAGGCAATAGGCACAGGTGTGAAGGCCGTATGTCCCTCCCTGGTCTGCAGGCAGCTGGCGGCCAGGGACGCAGCCTTAGAGCAGCTGCACCCTGGCTCCCCTTGACCATGCAGAGGAGCCCCCAGCAGGAGGAAGGAGGGAGGGAGGGAGGGAGGGAGGGAGGGGAGATCTCGAACTGATTTTCCTCTCCCCTCGGCTCACCTGGCCTCACTCTGGACTTCCTGAACTGCTTGTAGATGAGGTACATCTTGTCCAGGCAACACTGAATCTTCTGGATGCTGTGGGGAGGAGACAGGGACCAGGTGATGGGAGAGTCAAACAGCACAGAGTAAAGGGCGAGGGAGGGGACGGGATGGCGGTGGGAGGAGGGAGGAGCTGTCTGCCTGCAGAAGGGGCCTCAGTGTCTTAGTCTGGGGGCTAATGGGGAGTGGGGCTGACTCTCCTGCCTCTAAGCTTCCAAGGCACCTTCGGGCCTGCCAGCCACGCCCATTCTCATGTTTATCCTCTCTCTCCCTCTCTCTCTCTCTCTCACACACACACAGGCACACGGGCACACACGGGCACACACGGGCACTCCGTAAGATGAGATGGACAAAAAGCCAAGCAGGACAGGCAACAGGAGAGTGGCCTCCGCTGCATGAAAGGTGTGAGGGTAGACTCTGGAAAGGAGCCTTGGGCCCTGGAACAGGAGCGCCTGGTGGTGACAGCCTGGGATGGGGGCAGAAATCTCTCTGGTCACCTGGCAAGGGCAGGAGTAGTGCCTTCTTGGTACATCCAACGCCTGGCACTTAAATGATGAATCAACGATCCTTGCTTAAATCAATGATAAATCAGTAATCTCCGTCCCACCTGGAGCCAGCCAGGGGAATGAAGGAGACGACCTCCCGAGGACTTCCTAGGCCTGGAGTTTAAGGTCATTACTATTTCTTCCTTCCCCTTCTCAGGCTGGACACAGAACACTTTGTTTGAGAGGCGGACTGTGTGTGGCAGGGGGCTCTGCCTCACCCTCAGGCCTCCTCAGCTCCACTTCCTTCCTGCCTCCTCTCGAGACCCTGGATCAGCTGTCTCTGGAGCTGGGCTCCGGGCAGGGCCAAGCCTGTCCCCAGGGCTTCTGGGTCCCAGGCGCTGGCCCTCTGAGAGTACGAGGTAGACAAGGCCCCAGGTCAGTCTGGGCCCAAAAGACTCAGGCCATCTGTGTCCTGAATTCAGAGCAGTCTTCTAGTTTTTGGGAGGTAAGCCCATATACAGACACTCAGTTGTGGAACTCTCCTGGGGCTGGGGCTGGGGCAGCGCCCCTCACCAAAGACCCTCAGCCCCCGGGGGGCCGCGAGGACTTCCCTCCAGGGGGGCGCACAAAGACTGGAGACAGCCGCACGGCGGTTCAGGTCAGGGTGTGAACCACAACAGTTCAGAAAAAGCCCTGCAGGCTACAGAGCTTCTTCAGTTCAGAATTCAGGACCTGGGGTCACGGGTCCAGGCAGGTGCCACGGAGGACACCGTGGTCAGGGTGGGGCACGTGTCAGCCACAGGGGAGGGGCATTTTGTGTCTGCCAATGGGGAGAACATGGGCTCTGGAAGTGGGCATGTCTGGCCTGAGCCACTTGGCAGTTCCTGGCCGTGATCGGGCAAATTCAGCACCCCCCACCACCAAGTAGGAGTGTTACTGTCTTGAGGTGAAATGAGTAGGAGGATCTGACCAAGGGGCTGATGTAAAGCAAGGGCCCAGAAGGGGGAGGAAACTAAATTAGTCTTTCATTTAGAATTGTTGCACCTGCTGAGATTTTAAATTCACCCTCTCAACTCCCAGATGGGGGCAGGACGCCAGGTCCTTTCCTCCTGCGGGCTAGTCTCTGGTGGTGGGGGGCGTGTCTCGCGCATTGCTGTCCCCCCCCCCCATTTCCCACATAAAAGGCTGCTGGACCTTGTGCGGCCGTGTGCCCAGCCCCGCCCCATCAAGAAGGTAAATCCCACAGACCTTCTGTCCTCATGTACCTGATCCCGGTTCTTCACCAGCTCCGAGCTCAGGCTGCTCAGGCTCATCTGTTTCTCTGCGATATTGTGGGAGAATCTGGAGAGGACCTCAGCCAGCTATAAGGCAAGAAGGCAGACAGCCCCATGAGGCCCTCAGCTCAGGGCTCTGAGGGCAGCTGGCTGGGCCGCTGTCCCCCAGCTCTGCTCCTGGCGGCTGCCCGCACCCCATCCTCACTCACAGTCCGCAGCCTGGCCCTCAGATCTGCGGCCCTCTTCAGTTCCTGGACCTCGGGCACCCCAGCCGCGTTGCTGAACCTTGAGGGAAGCACAGAGTAAGGACACATTTGCGTCATGGCATCTATGGGGCAGCATAGCCAGTTTGTGGGGTGTCCGGGGAGTTTCGTGGTCAGGACAGAGGAAGAAACTTCAAGAGGTTCCTCCTCAGCCGAGCTGTGACCCCAGTGAGCAGCGCCATGAACAAAGACTGAGGGAGTCTGGAACAACTTGACTCGGAAAATTCGAGTCCACAATGCAAGGCAGCTATTAATAAACTCCCTACTTGGGAAATTTATAACTAAAGGAAAAGCATGAAGTTCCTTTGCAGTAGGTACTGTATTTCATGATAATCAATAGCTTATTAATAAGAGAAAAAGCTGCATTTTATTGATTATTAGCCAATAATGTGCCAGGACTTGTGGTACCAGTACCGGCCCAGTAAGATGACTCACTCGGGCAGGGGCTGAAGTCAGCAGTGAAGGGGTGCGGGGCGGACATCCGTGTGGTGCCCAAGCAGCAGCACTGCACTGGTCCTGTCCCGGGGAAAATGTGACCGCAGGATGGAGAAGCCAGGCTGTCCCCACCCGGTGTGGGTGGGCCTGCGGTGTGCCAGCGCCACCTCGGATGGACTCAGCCTAAAGTTTGCCCTGCATACACCCAACCTTTCGAACTCCCAGTCTGTGGGAAGTGCCAGCAAAGGAGAAGAAAAGAAAGGGCGTCCGGCGGAAGTGCAGCCGCGTCCAGAAGGGGGACGATGGCTGCCGTCCCTCCAACAAGTCAAACGGGTGGGGGCGATTTTGTGGAGATCAAAAAACAGACTTAAGGAATGTAACAAAATATGGTCTTAGATTGGATCCTGGTTAGATGCAACCAGCTAGGAAAGAAAATTTGGGGGATAATTAGGGTGGGCGGTACCAGATCAGATAAAAATTTGTGAGGAGGGGAGAGCTCATTAGCTGAGAAGAGCAGGTTGTGAAACAGCAAGTACTGAAGACTGTGCCGCCGGTTAATACGTACACTTACGCACACACAGTGCACAACTATCTGGAAGGGTATATACTTCTCGGGTGTAGCCACCTATTTCTGGGTAGTAGGATATGGTATTTTTTAAAAGATTTTATTTATTTCATTTTAGAGAGGGGAAGGGAGGGAGAAGGAGAGGGAGAGACACAGTGATGCGAGAAAGAAACATCTACCGGTTGCCTCTTGTCTGCACCCCGATCGGGGGACTGCACCCGAAACCCAGCCATGGCTCCTGACCGGGAATCGAACCGGTGACCTTTCACTGTGTCAGACGATGCCCAGCCTAGTGACCTACACCAGCTAGGGCAGGATATGGTATTTATAATTTCATTTTTGCTTATCTGTATTTTCTAACTTTCTATAATTAGCATATACCATTTTTATAACAATAACAATCAGGAAAAAAGAGTCTTATGTGTTTGGCTTGGGAATGGATGGGGCGGGGAGGACAGACGAGGAGGGAATCGGAACCTTGGACCTGAGTGGCGGCTCCGTGGGGGCAGGGCTGCTGCCCGCCTTGCTCGCCGTTCCAGCTCCAAGGCCCAGCAAAGCACTCAGCACACCCCAGCTGCCCCACGCCTGATTCCCTAGCGGTTTCCCAGTGTGCAAGTGGACTGGGGGCGTGGGGTGCCTGAGGACGGAGGAGGAGGCTGGCCACATCCAACTGGGCAGGGAGTCAGGAGACACAGGTCCGAGTCCTAGCCCCAGCCGTCACACCTGCCACCCTCACAACCCTGGTTAGCTACACGTTGGCTTTCCAAGCCTCAAGTTCTCCTTCCTGCTCCCTGATAAGGGTTTTGTGGGGATCAGATGGGACCTTTCTCAGAGGAGAAAGGGCTTGACTAGAGGGCACAACCTTGAGGGCTTTTCTGGTGTGGGGAGCAGCCCTGGCTGCCTGAACAGGGCCCCCAGACGGCCGCTGCTGCTGGGGAGGGCCCGGGGGCTTTGGGACAGAGGCAAGGACAGCCTGCCAGGGGAGCCCGTCTTGGGGACCCGAGCAGGAGGAATGCATCGTGGGAGAGGTAAGTGACCAGGCTGGGCAATGGCAGCCACTTGTGTGAGGTGCTTCCCCAGACGTGAAATCTGGCCCATTAAAATATTTCAGATGCCACTGTAGGCAGAGCTATGGCTTCAGACTTAAGAAGGATCGGCAGGCCTGAGGATGTTCAGAAAGGACTGGGATCACAAAGGTTTGCAGCTGGGGTGCTTTGGAGGTCACCCAGTCCTTCATTTTGAGAAAAAAGAAGCAGAGGTTCTGTCAGGAGCTGGGCCTGGCCCTCTGACCCTGCTCGGTGCTCTCCAAACCCCTCCTTGGGCCATGGGGAATACACTGGAAAGCAGGCCCTCCCCTGGCTCCGAGCTCGCTGGACACACCGTGCCTCCCCCCCGGGGGCCTTGGGAACCGAATGGGAACACGGTGGCCACCAGCAGAAGCCAGAACTGCAGCCCCGGGCCGGCCTGTCCTGACACCACAGTCCTGCATCCAGGGCCAGGGGGCAGACAAACACTTCAGACACTTCTCTACGCTTTTCTTTCCTGTTAAAAAACCTGCAATAGACCGATAGGTCCTTTCATTGGGGTCTAACCAGCCCACCGGGCCCACTGGGACCTGCACCCATTCCCTCCTCCTCTCCCCACACCTTTTCCCTACTGCAACTTTGCTCCGGGGCACTTTCATCGTGACTCTGGCTTCAGTAGACCTCACCGCACCCCCTGCCCCCGAGTCACAGCCCCTTCTCTGTTTCTGCACAGGACCTTCCAGCCACAGGTATTCTCTCTCATCATGGCCTGAACAGCCTCACCTCTTCCAGGAAGACCTCTGTGGTTGCCTGTGCCCATCTCCAGTTTCCCTTTACCCAACCATCCCATCTCCACACGTGCCTGGGAAGGGCCATCTCCTCCAGGGAGCAGGGGCCCCCTGTGTGCATGGCACCATATCTGTCACAGGACCCTTTCTGTGCCCTGGCCAGAGCTCTGCCCTCATCCTTGTCACTGTCTGAGGGGGCTCAGTCCTGCCAGGGACTCCAACCCTGTCCTCTGGAGCCACTCCTCTTCCTCCTCCCGCACGGCCACCGCCCCTTCTGCCCCACCATCAGCGCTGTCGCTGCCAAGTGCCGGGAGGAAGGCAGGGCTGTGGTGAGTCAGCCGCTGCTGGGAAACTCCCGGGACCTTCCTGAGGACATGGGACAGGGGACCTGAGGGGGAGGGACACCAGGCATGTTTGCCAGTCTCTGATCTCTGTCACCATGTGTGTCCTCCAAGTGGGAAGGGCTCCAGCCAGCAGCAGCTTCCTGGGCTGCAGAGCCCCACCTGTCACCGCACCTTGGCCCCATGCCTTCCAGGATTCTCAGGACTGCCCGTGGAATCCTGCTGCTTCTCATCTCCAGACCCTCTGCTTGGTTTCCTCCTCCCCAGTCTCCCCCTTTCTCCACGGGTCCCCTAAGTAGCCCAGTCAGGGGAGAGGAGGACACGGAGTCCCAAGGGATGCGGGGAGGAACCCTAAGAAGACAAGGGCAGTTTGAGACATGAGGAAGCAGGAGGAGGAGCATGGAGATGAGACCACCCGCATCCCCAGGTCCAGCGGACCGTGCATGGCTGTGAGTGCGTCTCCCGGAGTCCTGCCCTGGGGCTGGTGTGGGTGAGAGATGGGGCAGGGAGGCTGCCTTGGTTCCTGGAGGGGCAGATGTGTGGGGTGGTGGGGGAAATACATGTAGTCATCTGGGGGTGGGGGGTGGGTATGAGGGGCAGGATGCAGAGCCCTCCCTGTTGCAGCCAGTGTGGCAGGGAAGGTGAGGAACACAGAGAAGGCCTGAGGGCTCTTGGCTGGCCCCAAGCCTGCTGCAGCCACCCGCCCTGGTCAGGACACTCACCTCTCGGCGCCGAGGCTGCTGCTGAGGAAGAGGAGGGCCATCTGCATGACCTCCAGTGTCCGCCTGCAGGTACCCTGGAGTGTCTTCCTGCCGAGGGGAGCCAGAGTCAGAGTGCTTCTCCCCTGGACCCACAGCATTGTGCCTGCCTGGCCCCCGCACCCAGCCCGCAGGGCACTCACACGAACCAGTGCAGCCCCCGAAGCATCAGCTCCTGCCCGGCCAGCAGGGCCTGTGCCAGCCGTAGGGCCTGGTAGCCGGCGCCCAACACACCCTGAAAACACAGGCGAGCAGGGTCAGTTTCCTCACCCTCCACACTCTTTTGTGTACCCCGCTTCCTGCCACCCAGGGGCCACCTCTAACCTTGGCTGTGTTGTAATCTCCCTGCAGGTCCACTTTGGGCACAAACTTGGGGATATCCAGAGCAGCTGCAAACAAAGACCCTGTCTGAGGGGCTGCCTATATGGCCTTGGATGACCTCTGACATCATCATTCCTTGTTCCTGGCTCACATCCACCCCTCACCGCCCAGCTTTCCAGTTCCTGGAGTCCCCACCTTTCAAGCCTTGAATGCAGGGCACTGTGCTTCTTTACATGGCAGTCTCTCACTGCCCTCTTGTGTCTACTTTGGAGAACTACAGCCCCATGCCCAAGGCACCTATTTCAACAGCCAGAAAATGGACCAAAACTGCCCCAGTGCCCAGGAGTTTCAAGGCTAATTCCCCTTCCCAGCCCTGGAAACCTGACTAGGAGGATGATATTGGCATTATTCAACTGAGAAGGAATAATATTGTTGCTAGAACTGGAGCACAAAGCCCTGGACCTCTGACCATTTTCCCTTCTCTCCAGCACCTGAGGCTCCTGCTTCCCGCCACCCGGACTCTCTGAAGCTTCCCCACCGATTGTAGAGACTGTGCAGAGAACATCAGCCCCTGATCCCCCTGCTCCAGTCACAGCTCCCCAGCTCTGTGGACACTGAAGCCTGGGGTGTCAAGCTGCCAGACTGAGGCCCATGGCGTTCCAGAGGAATATGCAAAATTAGAACCCAGAATTTGGGAAACCCTATGGTGGGACCCTATGGGCCCAAAGAAATACCCACAAAGGAAAGGAATCAATAACCTGGATGTGAACCCCTGCCTCTTGGAGGAGAGTAGGAGGAGGGGACGAGATCCAGCCTCTGTTGCTCTACTCACGGTCCCTGAAGGCCAGCCCCTTGGGGGTCTCCGCGGCCATGCTGAAGAGCATCAGGGGGCTGCTTGCTGTCGTGTGGGTGATGTGCTGTGCTGAGAGGCTGGGGTCGAGGGCACAGGGGTGACCCTCAAAGAGGTACTCCTGGTTCTTGGGGGCCACGTTGCTCTGCTTGTACACGGCCTCCAGGAAGATGGCTACCCTGGACACACCAGACACAGAGCGGAGGCGGGGAGGACAGGAAGAGTCAGCAGGCAGGCCAGGGGGCAGGCTGACCCACACCCCACCCAAGACTTCATCTACGGAGAGGGCTCAGCTGCTCAGAGGAAGGGCAGGGGTGGTTTTCTCTCTCATCAGTGGTGGGGAGACCAGGGGTAGCGCTCATGTCGTAGGGCAGATGGGGACAGTGGACACGGAACTCCAGAGCCCCAATATCCAGCCTCTGCCTTGGCACCTCTTCCCATTAAAATTCACGTAGTCCCGTAAAATTCTCCAGCAACAAATGTGGGAAACACACTGACAACACACACACACACACACACACACACACACACACACAGCCCTCGGGCACTTGTGACAACTATTGGCCTTGAAAAGCATGCTGAGTCTCTGGAGTCTGGCAGCAAGGAAGCCGGTTTCACTTTAACTCTGTGGAACTAGGAGTTTTCTGAACTGAGATCGGACCCCGAGTCTTTCACATCTAAACACCCCGGAACTCCGCCGCAGACACGCGTCTGCCTGCGCGGGAAGGCTCCGGCCGGCGACCTGCAGCCACTTACGTGTTGTGGGCGTGGACGTAGACGCGGTGCAGCGCCGCCTGGGGCAGCGAGAAGACGTGGACGACGGCTCGCTGCAGGATGTCGCTGGTCTCCGCAAAGAACTGGTCGAAGCCCCAGCACTTGGCCTGCTCCACCTCCAGGATGTTGGCCAGGATGGGCACCAGCTGGCCCTGCAGTCCCCTGCCCCGGGACATGGAGACTGTCAGGGGCGGGGGCCCGGACCTGTCCTCCTCAGGTAGGTAATGGGGGCATCCACAAAGACGTCCTGAAGAGCTAGGACCAGGGCGGTGACACAGGGTGGGGTGGGGAGGAAGGGCTCGGAGGGCCCTTCCACCTCCAGGTGGAAAAACTGCAGTCAGCAAGGGAACGTGGTGGACCCCGCAGGACAGCTCGCAAGGGGCCCCGCTGGGACAGGCCTCCCCAGAGAGAGGACACTCAGCCCAGCCTCGGGCTGCCCCTCACATTGACAGCTGGCAGGTGATGGGGAAGGTGTAGCTCCACTCCAGGGGCCCGTTCTCCCGCCGCTGAGCACCTGCAATGGCCCCTGCGGGCTTCTCCGTGGTGATCCGGTACCTGGGGGAGTGAGGAGGACCAGGTCGGGCGTGCTCTCGCTCTCGGAGCAGCGCACGCACGAGGAGGGATGGCAGATGTGGTGGGGCGGGGCGGGCTCAGAGCACGGGTGCAAGTCTCCCGCTGCTCTGAGGTGGCCTGAAAAGGAATTCGAGAGTCCTGCCTCTCAGCCAGTAAGTCGCCTTGCCTTGGTGCTCCCCAAATTCTCCTCCTTCCCGCCGCCCACGCCCTGTGGCCGGCACCCCACAGCTGCAACCGGCCAGCCTGCACCCCTGTTCCTGCGCTGTGCCCGGTGTGCGGCCCGGGTATCCTTTCCCTCCACAGCGCTGTTCTGATCCTCTCCTCTCCTCGCTTCAGTGCCCAGCCACCCTGACAGCCTCTGTCCCTGTTGGTCCCTGTGCCCTCTCCCTAACCTCCTGCAGCTCCCACATAGCTGAGCCCTGCCCGGTGGGGGCTGGGGGAGGGGTGGAGTATAAGGGCCTTTCTCTGAGTTGGCCTTAAATCTCTGTGCTCTGGGCCGAGCCCTCAGTGGGAGCAGTGCTATCTCCAGCTACTTCTGTGTCGGAGAGCAGGACACCTGGAAGGGCGCTGGACCTGGGTCTTGCCCCACTTCTGGCCCTGACGGTGTCCCTGGAGTCCCACTGGAGCGGGGAGAGGGCCAAAGGGAAGCAATGAACTCAGATAAGGGGTTCTGATCTGTCTCCCACCAGCCAGGTCTGACAACCAAGGCTGTAAGAGAAGCCCAGGCGGGGTGGGCCAGCGGGGCCAGAGAGACAGAGGCCGGAGAGGAGACGGAGCAGAGGAGGAGACACAGCAGGAACATCAAGGGAGACCCAGCGCCCCGACCCCTGCCTGTGGCCCCCGTACATGATCTCCTTGTTGCGCCGTGGTCCGCCGAAGGGGACGAAGGGCAGGCTGCCAGTGGCTGCGTGGTACAGGGTCACCCCAATGCTCCAGAGATCCACAGTCACCCCAAATGCCTTCTGCTGGGGCTTGCGAAGCACTGCCCGCTGATACATGTCAGGGTGCTGCCAGAGAGACCAGGGCACAGACATGGAGGGAGAGGGCACACGAGGGCCTGGGCCCCCCGGCCGCCGGACCCCCTCCCTCGGCCTTCCAGAGGCAGCAGAACCATCAGAACCCATCCCCCCCGTCGTCCCGAACACTGGCTTGGAGTCGGCCTGTCCGGAGCATCCTCATTCGCCCGCCCTCTGCCCTGGGAGAGTGGTGAGCAGTGGTGGGCCCTCCTCTGTGGGGTGGGGTCAAGGAGGTCACTGCACAAGGGAGGCCGGGTGGGGGGCCTGGGAGGCCGCAGCATTGTCTGTTCCGTCTGCAAAGTCTTCCGTTTGGGGTGTGGAGGGTGTGATCGAACCCTGCCAGATGCAGGGGCTGGGACAGAGGCCCTCACGAGGCCGGGGGGCGGGGAGGGGGGTCAGCCCGCTGCAGGGGCAGCCTTCAGCTTGGGGCCGTGTGTCCCCAGCATCCCACTCACCAGGTACTCCTCTGTCCCGTAGACAGAGACGAACTTCTCGTCGTCATCTAACTCCCGGGCAGCCCCGAAGTCCGTCAGCTTGTAGATGCTCTGCCCTTCCTCCCCCACGAGGCGCATGATGTTCCCAGGCTTGATGTCGCGGTGGACGATGCCATTCTCCCGCAGGTGGTTCATGCCGGCCACTGCGGACGGGGGGAGGCTGCTAGTGGCTCTGGCTGGGGACAGTCCACTTTCTTGGAGAGGAGGCTGCCCTTGGGTGCAGGAAGAGCTCCCATAGGCTGACAGGGCCACGGGAAGAGCAGGAGGGAGATGGGCACGGGACACTCTCGGGCTCCAAGGGCCCCCTGGGAGCTCCCGGGAAACCAGAAGAAACGGTGGCCTGGCTCCCTGCAAACGGCACCGCCTCCTCGTCTGCTTTATTATTTTCTATTAAAAACATTTTAAAGTATGCCTGACATAAAAGTTGCAATTTTGACGACTTTAGGCAGACAGTTCAGTGGTGCCGAGTACAATAACATTGTTGTGCCACTGTCACCACCGTCCGCCTCCCGAACTCCGTCAGTCTCCAGACAGAAACCCGACTCAACACTCACTCTCCGGTCCTCCCGGCCGAGCCCCTGCTCTGCTTGCAGACTCCGTGGACGCGGCTGCTCCGCGTGCCTCACGTGAGCGGAGCCCTACACTGCTTGTGTGTCTGGTCTACCTTACTGAGTGTGTCTCCTGGGCCCACCACACTGCAGCGTGTGTGGGAATTTTATTCCTTCTCACAGCTGCATGGCACACTGTTGTATGTGGAGGCCTCTTTACTTACCCCTCACTGTTTGTGATATTTCAGCTACTTTCGCCTTATGGCTACTGTGAATAATGCTGCAATGAACACCAATGTGCAACCTGTTTTAAATTTTATTTTTAAATTAGAGTTACGAACTGCTGGTCAGCAGGAGTCAGATTCTGAGTTCTGTCCACTTATCATTGCCTGACCCAGGTCTGAATGGAGCGCCTCTTAGGTCCTGAATGTTCTGTGTTTGGATGCTTGTTTCAAAAGTGCTGTACCCCTCTGGGACTTTGCCTCCGTTGAGGGCCAGGCCCGTGGCTGCTCAGAGGCGGGCAGGGGGTCCCCGTGGGCATCGGGGAGGCGCTCACCCACACAGCGCAGCACCACCAGGAACTCATCCTCCGACAGCCCGAAGGCATTCTCGGGGCTCTCGAGCACGCTCAGCAGGCTCCCACTGGAGCAGTATTCCATCACCAGCACCTTCTGCCTGCTGGCCCCCTGCAGGTGGCGCACAGAGAGAGACGTGGTGAGGTGGGCACGCCTCCTTCCCTTCCTCAAGAGGAGGTGACTCAGTCTAGAGCCAGAAGCCCTTGTGCTCTAGGTCCCAGCTTCTGGCCTGGCTGTCCCTTCTCAGCCTCACACTGATCTCACACATCTGAGTCCAAGGTCACCTCTTCCAGGAAGCCCTCTCTGATTATATCCTACTTCAGTCCTCAATTTCCAATGGATGGCCCCGCCCACTACATTCTTTACTTCATTTACAGGTTGCTGCTCTGGCTGCCCTGCTGACGAGCATGTGACTAACTTTCTGTTAGTTTGTGACCTGACTCTTCCCAGCCTGAGGACCCACCGTCTCCTCCACCGCAAAGAGCTTGACGATGTTCTGGTGGTTCAGCTTCCGCAGGACCTCGAACTCCCTCACCTGCACCTCGAGGGGCCGCAGGTAGCTGGCGGTGTTGAAGACCTTCACAGCGACCAGCTCCCCAGATTTCTGCCGTGGGAGAGAACAGAAGTGCCGCCATGCCCTGGGGAGCGCCCTACAGGCCTCCGTGGGGTCTCTTCTGCCAGCCCAACACGGGAGATGAGCAAGGACCGCCTGGGCAGGGGTGGGCTTCTTCCCCTGCTCAGGGGACCGGTCCAGCACGGAGAGGTGACAAGAGCTTGGCATACATGACACCTTGCAGGAAATGTTTGCTGTTACTATTACAATTGACAGTAATGACAACGGCAGCCAGTGCTTGCTGGCATTAGTGGCAGAGCTGGGACTGGAGCCTGTTCTGTCTGGCTTCAGCTCTTCAGGCCAGAGGGCACAACACGGCCTGTGTACTCGACGCAGCTCTGCGTTGAAAGCAGGAAATTCCCAAACAAGCCGTACCTCCCGCCTCTGCTGCTCCTAGATTGGCTGTCACCTCCCCAGACTCCATCATGTATCTTCATCTCTCTCTCTCCAATCCCAACCTGTGCCTAGCAGAGGCATCATGTGGAGGAGCCCTTTGCAGCCCCCAACTCCGCTGCTCAGGCCCCTGGTGTCCCCTGGCCCCGGAGTGTGCAGGGTCAAGTCCAGAGGCCTCTGCCCAGCCACACACCGCCTTGGATGCCGGCTGGGGCTGGCCGGGCTAATAACTTCCTGGGTGTAAGGGGGCCCCGGCAGCCAGGCCTGTGCCCTACCTTGTTTCGAGCCTTGTACACACTGGCAGTGGCCCCCTGCCCCAGCAGGTCATCCGTGTGCCACAGGTAATTGACCGTGCTCTGCATCTCCTGCCCTTGGCTGGCCGGCCACCTTCTGCCTAGAAGAACATATGGGGGTCCAGGATTCCATCACTCACCTGGGGTGGACACGGGTGGCCTGACCAGGAGCTAGGGGCCAGGGGGCAGAGGAAGTTTGAAGCAGAGAAGAGTTAAGTAGCTTTTCCAAAAGAAGCACCACCAGCAGACCTGAGGGCCACAGCTTGTGCCTGTCCCACCACAGGACATTCTACCTGTCCCCATTCCCCAGGTCCCCTCCACTCCAGCTCTGTCCCCAAACAGGCCCTCAGAGACAAACCCCTTTGCCTGTCACCTCTCCCAGGCACCGAGAATTCTGGGGTTTGGCACCCAGGCCTGGGATTGGCCCAGGAAGCAGAAATGTGCTCAAAGGAAGGGACCCAGCTCAGGCAGTGTCAACCACACCGCCACAAATCTCCAGGATTGCAACATGAGCCTGGAGCCCCTCCCCTCCCACTTGCCTGGGTCCACCACTTCCTGCTGCCGCGCTAACCACTGCACCAGGCAGCCTGCGCGGGCAGCTCAGGTCAGGGTGGCGAGGACCTGCACTGGGGCAGAGTGTGTGTGAGTGTGTGCGTGGGGGGAGGTGTATGAGGGGGGTATGTGTGTGTGTAAGAGAGAGGGTGTGTCGGGGTGGGTGTTTGTATGTGTAAGGGTGTGTGTGTGAGTGTGAGAAGGTGTGTGTGTGTGTGTGTGTGTGTGTGTGTGTGTGTAGGGGGTGGAGGAGGCAGGAGACCATTAAATCCAAGGGCTCAGGAGCCCTGGGGAGGATCTGAAACCCTCTACAACCTTGTTCCCCATCTTTGCCTCCATCCTCTTCTCTCCAAAAGCCGGTTCTCTAAGGCAGCGGGCTCCAGAGTGCAGGCCCCCAGGCTGAGCTCAGTGTCTTGGAGGAGCATTTCGGGGGGCAGCCTTCAGGGGGAGGGGCGTAAGCAGGACCCCAACCCCCCCCCCCACCCACACTGTCAAAGACTCAGATAAGGCCGACCTCTCACAGGGTTATGGACCCTCAGGTCACCTGGCCTGGGACATGGGCTTTGAGCCTTCTCTCTGTATTTTTAATGCAAATTTTGAGAATGTCAATTCCTTGAGCCAGAGGCCACTTCATGAGATGAGTGGTGAATTCCCAGTTTCAGAAAATGTGCCAGTCCAGTGTTTGCATTTTACAGAGGCAGCTGAGGCACAAAGGGCTCCCTGAAGACAATGTAATAATAGTTCAGGGTGAAGAGCTGGCCGGGTGTGCTCCCGCCAAGAGGAGTCGGCTGGGGGTCTAGGGGTGTGAAGCCTTCATTCAGCCCCTGGTGCGGGGCAGGGCTCCCCCTCCTTCAGTGGAGGGTGGATGCAGAAGGGTGGGCGGTGGAGACTGGAAGCCAGCGGCCCCACCCACCACCTCCCATCCCTCCTCCTCCTCCTCCTCCTCCCCGGGCTTTGCTGTAGCCGTGCGAGAGCACTTACCCTGTGGTCTGAGCAGCGGGTCAGGCAGAGACGCTCCCTGTCAAGTGTGTGTTTTGCTTTCTGTCTGCGGCAAGTCCAGGAGCTGAGCTACACCGGAAAGAGGAGGGCGGATGAGAGGCACCCCTCGGTGCCGCTCGATTCTCAGCCTCCATCAAAGGCCACCAGCCCGGCCCTTTAACCCTTTCCTGTTTGTCACCCCTCCCTCGCTGGGCTGGGGGTTTCCAGCCTCATCCCCAGCTGTTCCAGGAGGCTTTCCTTGCCACTTCCCCAGCAGAGGTGAGGGCAGGCGCTGGGAGCCGAGCAGGAGAGAAGTGCAGAGACGGAGCTGAAGCCGGCTTGGGGCGCAGGGAAGCAGACAGAGCAGGGAGAGGAGCCTTGTAGGTGGGTGGCAGCTCTCTGCGCCACAGTCCTCCCTGCCTCTCTGGGCTTCCAAGCAGAGCTTTGCAAGGGTGACCCCCGGAGACGGAACACACAGGGCACTGTTGGCGGTCCCTAGCCACGGCAGGGAGACACAGAGAGGAGACATGGGCCCCTGCTCACTTGTCAGTACGGGACACGCGTCGGAGTGCCACCCTGCAGCTGCCCTCGACCCCGGGCTCCCCCGCCTGCCTTTCCCCAGGGACCCTGCACACTCACCACATCTCAGCTGTGGGTCATGCAGGCTCGTGGGACCGGGTGGCGCACCCTGCAGCTGCCACTCCCCCGGGTGGCACCCCTGATGAGAGCTCTCAGGGCTCGTTGTCATCCATAGGCAGTGCCCATGGCATCCTGGTGTTCACCGGACCTGGGACTCAAAGACGGCTGGTCGGCGTGGCTGAGTGCCACCGGGGCCCTGGGGGAGCCCGAGCCGAGTTGCCTCCCCACCACGGTGCCTGAGCACCCAGTGTCCTCCCAGCCCAGCAGCTCTCTCACACTTCCTGATTTCGTTTTTTCTCTCTCTCTTAAAGAGACAGGCAGCTGGCCCACTCGGCCACCCCAGCAGGAAGGAGAAAGGGGATGCTCTGAGTTCCCAAGTAGAGGCTACAGGACAAAGGAGTCTGGCCCACAAAGAGGCTGGGAACTAAAGCTGGACAGCTGTGGCAGGCCACGGGGTGCTGTCTGGGCATTTCCTGTAGTTCACGGGAGTGGGGAAGTTCATTCAGGGCTTGACCCAGAGTCGATAGAACAGGTTGAGCAAGTTAACCAAAGGGAGAGTTGCCTGGAAAGACCATGTTTCCACATCCAGGAGCCCCAGGAAGGGTCTGATTCATCCTCCCAGTGAGCCTGCAGAGGCCCAAGAGCAAGCACTGGAGCCCAGGTCCGCCCTCCAGTGTGAGCTTGAGCACAGCACGCAGCCCTCCGGGTTTTCTCAGCCAAGGCATGAGGAGAGAAACACTTATGCTGCTGGTTGTGTGGATGGCGTGGAACAGTATGTTTGGAAGTGCTTGGGACACCGGGCAGCACTTGACAGACAGGCACTGAGGACGTCGAGACCCACACGCCTTTAGTGATTTGCCCATGATCTTCAGGCACCGCTGGGGCTGGGACCCAGGGATAGCGGATTCCCAGCCCGGCCTCGGCACCCCGCGTGAAATTTCCTAGGAGGCTGCAGAGGTCAGCCCTGCTCTGGGCAGCTCCGAGGTGGCAGTTGAATAAGAAATGGTGGCAACCAGGAAATTCCATGCTTCTACAGAATGCTGGAGGGACTTTCCCATGGCATACCTGGTGGTTTCCTCTGGCAGCCCCACCCCTAGCACAGCGACACCAGAAAAGGAGCCCAGCTAAAAAGGGCCTTCTGCTCAGAGAGGCACACCTGTGGTTCACCTGGGGCCTGTGGCGCTGCCGCTGGGCCCTACCCAGAGGGGCTACCTGTGGCTCGTCCCAGCAGCAGCGGGAGAAACATCCCTGAGATCCTCCCGCTCTCCACCCAGGATTCCGAGCTTTTCACCTGCCTGCTCACGGTAGACTTTCTTGGCACCCTGCGACTGGGTGGGGCCTGGTGATTTCCCAACCAAAGCATTAGCTGCTGATGCAAGAGCCCCTTGCTTTCTGATAGTGGGGCTCTGTGAGACACTATGCCTGCTCTCTCAGTCAGACTCCCTGAGTGACCGTCGTGAGCAGAGCCCACGCCGGCCCACAGGGAACACGTAGCCTTGGTGATTAACAACCTTTGTTGTTTTAAGCCATTGAGGTTTGTAACACAACCTAGCCTATCCCTAAAAGTCTACCTATTTTTCCCTGATAAGCCTGCTCAGCCCTCACCAGCACCCTTCCTCTTCTCCCTCCAGCAAGCTTAATCTCTCCCCCACCCCCAGTTTCCAAAGCACCCCCAGAGCAGTGCCTGTGTGTGTCGGGCTCTCACTAGGAAGCAGGCACCCCCAGAGCAGGCACGGTGTGCTGTCCCCAGGAGCTGGGGTTCAGGGCAGCGTGGTGAATGCTGGGAGACACAAACTCAGCTGGTGGTGAGTTGGTGAGCCTGGCAGAGGGGTCAGCCTAGAGGGGGTGGTCCGGAAGAGCTGGCCGGAAGAAAGGATGCTCCAGCAGAGTTTGGAGAAAGACAGAGGCAGAGGACTGAGGGTCCAGGCAAGGCCCTGCAGGCAGTGGGAACGCGTGCAGGGGCACAGAAGCGTGGGACGAGAGGGGCTTGTCCAGAGCACCCTGCGTGGCAGGGCCAGAGAACGGGGAAGCGGTGGGGGCAGGGCTGGAGCCCTGCGCACTGACGGCTTCGCTAGGCCCTCTCTGGGAGGTTCCATTCTCTGTGTGGACACAGCGAACGAATGCCTTGCCTGTGCCTTTGAGCTGCTGGCCCCAGCTGGGCAGCATGGCCATCGTTTCATTCGCGGTGGCGCAGGAGCCTGGAGGCCTCCCGAAGGGGAAGTCTGTGAGAGGCTCCACCACCTGTTCCCGAGTGGCTCTGAGGAGCCATAGAAACAGAAGTGGCAATTCAGCAGTAGGACAAGGGCCAGAGGGGGTAGGGTTGGTGCCTTTGATGGCCGCTCTGGGGGGAAAAGCTCACGTCTGCCTTCTGCGAAGGGAGGCCGAGCGTATACTGGGAAGGGCAGGAGCTTTGCCATCACAGAGGTTTGAGTCCCGACTCTACCATTTGCTCTGCGTGATCTTGAGCAAGTCACGCAACTTCTCTCTTGGGGTCGGTGTAGAACACAACGAGACAAGGGCCTGCCGCCGAGTAGGCCCCGAACAAACACTAGTCGCCTCTTCTGCCCCTTCTTGAGCAGAAACCTCAAGAGGGCTGTCTGTCACAGCTGCCTCACCTGTGGGGTGTCACAGCGCCTCACAGGAGAGGGGGAAGGAGGAGTAACTGGGACAGGTGGGTGGGGAAGAGCTGGGTGTGTGCACTCAGCGTGCTCAGTCACTCACGCAGGGCCGAGGGACACGGTCTCCGAGGGCTGCTCCTTACCACCTTCGCCAGCCAGCTCTGGCAGGAGCTGTGTGTGGGGAAGGAAGGGCAGACCCTGAAGCCAGACCTGGCACTCTCCTGCCCCGTGCCCCCAAGCGCCCCCAAGCGGGAGGACAAGGCACTGTGGGAGCAGCGCCCCTGAAGGAAATCGGCCCCTGAGCCACGAGGTGCTGTCTGTCTTGGCAGGGAAAGTGAGTATTCATTCTCTTAACTCTTCAAACCTACTCAACGTTCCCTCCCACTCCCTCAGCTAGTCTTTGCCTTAAACCTCACTAAAATAAAAGATGCAATCAAAAGGGAACTCCTTTTTCCTCAGTCTCACAGCCACTGCCGGCCTTGTATCACGCCTGCCTTTCACACCTGCCTCCCCTCTCTTGCGCTGGAAGGGCCTCTGCCCTGGCTCCTCAGCCCTTCCTTCCCCCTGTGCCTGCCCCCCACCCTCTTCGGCACAGTCGCTCTTTCCACCCAGCCGGGCCCTGCCCCCGGGGTAAACACGCACCGGTGCTGTCCATTCCAGAAACGGAACCTGCTCCCGAGACACCGACACCATCTGATGCTCCCCAATCAAAACACCTGTAAATGAGCTGCCAGGAGTTCCCCACTCCCCCTTCCCTTCCTATTTGCGGCCCTGCCCTCCCCCATCGGACTCATTTCCCCTCCATGAGAGTGCTCTTGCCCCGGTCACCCAGGAGTACCTCTCTCCCCAGCCTCATCGCACCCCACGCACCCCACCTGATTTGCCGCTGACCCGGCACCCCCCCACCCCCCGCCCATGCTGAAACATTCCTTCTCTTGGTCTCCGCTCTCCCAGCCACCTACCTGTCACTCACTCCCTCTGGCTCCTTCTCTGCAGGATTTCTGATGATTACCTTCTCTTTCTATTTATATTCCCTTTCTGGGAATCTCATAGTTTGAATACATCTATAATGTACTAGTTACTGAATTTGTTTTCAGGTACGATCTGCCCCTAAATTCTTTCAGGTATGATCTGATCCACATCCGTATAGCCAAGAGTCTATTTGGGGTTTCCACTTGGACGACTAACAGTCAGCTTGACTTTGCCAGGCCAGCCAGAAGTCCTGACGGACCACTCCTTGCCTGCCAACAGCCTGTCCCAACCAACCCAGCACTCACTATCTTACTCCATCATTTCATTTTCGGAGTAACATTATTTTGATGATCTCTTCTCCCTGAAACTAGAAAGCAAGTTCCATTATCCATCTCTCCTGTTCAACATTGTATGACAGTGCTCAGCACACAGGGAAGCTCTTTGCTGACGGACCATGTGAATGAGTCTTTGGCATACGTCAATATGCCAGGGTTGCTAACTCCTAAGGAAAAGGAAGCTTCATATACCTACTATGGATATGAACACTTAGATTAGATAATCACAAAGACCGTTTCCTAACTCATACCCACCTGATCTCCCTTGTTGGTTTCTGCCTGCATGGAATGGGCCTGTGTGTCATTGTCACTAGTTTCCATCCAAGCTGCCATCAGAATATGTAGAATGAATGAAAAGAATCCCTACAGAACAGCCACCTTTGCCTTAGGACTCCGAGAGAAGGTTCTTTGGTCCTTGGCTCACAGCTCAAGAACTGGCTCCCTCTCATAGCTCGTCACCTACACTCAGGAGTGGGGGTGCATCCAGCACACAGGGTGGCAGGAGAGTCGAGAACAAATGACCAGCAAGAGCAGCTCAAGATGTAGCTCCACCACTGAAGTGTGGGGGAGGAAGATGACGGATCGGAAGGGCACGGCAGCCACACTGGAGACACTGGAGTAGCAGGTGAAGGCGGCAAACCTCAGAGGAGGCAGTGCCCGGTCCAGGGCCCGAAGCAGGAGTGCTGGTGCGATCACTGAACACTCGCCGCTCCCTTGGCTACAAGATTTCACCCAGGGCTTCTGGTATTAGAACAAGCCCACTAAGAACAACAGTGAGCCCTAGGGGCATGTGGATACATTTAAGTTGTTACCTTTGATTAACTTGAGCCTTGAGCTCAGGACCAGCCAGGATAAGAATCTAAAGAGAGGCAGCATTTCTGTGTGCGCCCTGCCCTGGTGCCCAGCACACCAGCAGCTCGAGCATACCGGTCAGCTCTCCTCCCGGACTGCCAAAGGCAGAGTGGCTCAGGGCTTCGGCTGTAGGACTCAAGCCTTCAGCCGCCCTTGGTTGTGGCTGGCACTGCCTCCAAGCAACTTCGCAGGCCCCACTCCTCCAAGTGGGAAATCTGACTGGAGACAGAAATGAGAACAGTCCTCGCTGAAAACACGGGAGGTGGATTCTGCAGAGGAGATGGTTCTCATGGCAACAGACTGCCCAATGGAGAGCTGGAAGACTTTCTACACAACCTCTTAAATTTTACCCAGAGGCTGAATAAAAACACTAGGGGGAAAAGTCCACATTCTGAGTGCACCTGTGCTGCACTTGCTCGGGGGAGGGAGAAGGTGGTTGGCTCCCAACGTCACCTGATTTCTTGCTCTGTGGCCAGGCAACACTCTGGTACCACGCACACAACACAGCCCTCCTGGACAGCTGGACTCACGCCTCGGAGACTTCAGAGAGTGGAGAAGGGGCATATGAACTGCAGCACTGAAACCTAAAAATGTGTTTTATTTCGAAGTTGTGCTTTGGATTTTCCCCAATCCAACATCTGTTGAGTGACAGTCTTAGGTTCACACAAAGCA